GATTGCGGTGGCGACCTGAGGGTTTAAGTGTGGAGGCGCTAGGGTTAGGTGGCTAGAGAGAAATTAGGGTTTCAGTTTTTGTTTGGGCTGAAGGTTGAAGAAGATGGTGACGTGGCAGCTTCTAAATGTCATCTCATTTGGGTTTTGCATAGTTGGACAGTGAATCGTTAACAATTTAATCATCGTCTACAAAAAGGACTAAATTGAACATAAAAATAAACTAGGACAATTTCGAACAAACCTGACGAATATTAAGCCTTTATAGAAAGGTTAGATAACATGGACAACTTGAGAGAAAGAGTTGTAAGTACATGAACATTGAAGAAAACAAACTAAAGAAGGCAAAAAAGCCCAGTATTTGAACAAGAAGAACAATGTCAATGACTAAACTAGTACAACCAGTATACTCTCCTAAATAATAACAAGAATATCATACTCAAGGAAGCATGCAACCTGGATCTCTTACAGCTCCTAACACCAAGACAACCTCCCCTTGATGTCAACCTTGCAAGAACATATTCCTACCACCAGAGCGTAAGACACACCATAGAGAAATTTCGACATCTAAGAAACCTTATCGAAGAGCCAATCCACTTTGATGCCTTAGCCCAGTTCATCCAACAAGGAAGCGACAATCGAGGTAGAGGGTAGGGAGGATAAGGTCAAGGCAAAGGACGTGACGACTTCATAGGACAAGGACGAGGACAGTTGGACCAGCCCAACATGGTCCTTCATATATTAGGACTCATTCACCTTGGTCACCAAGCTCTCCTTCTCATTCTTTAATTATTCAAGCTTGGTTTCCAAAACGGAAATTTGGTTGGAGCTTTACACCAATTCCAAGTCCTTGCTCATCAACTTGTGCCAAACCTCCATATACAGGTTCTTCACTTTGTCTTTCGCGGTCCTTAACTTCATTTCTTCCAACTACAAAGTCTTCAAGGCCTTCTCTACCTTCCTTAGGCGGGTAACCTCTACCCTCAGCGTATTAAGCTCCTCATTTTTCTCCTTGATCCTCTTATCACTCTCTCTCAAGCTAGCCATGAGTCTGATTTTCTCTCTTTCGACCCCACGAGCATGGTCATCCACTTCCTCTTGACCATATAACCGTTGCAATATCGTACAATGGTATGCACCGAGCCATCATAACCTCGACTGATTTTCTTTAGCAACTCTAAGTCATAAAGAGTGGGAAGAGAATTACTTTTCACAAACTCCTCATGCATCTCTAAATGCTATAAGAATGGACTTTGGTGGCCAAGGAGTGCTCTAATCGAAAAGGAAACCCTAAACCTCGGTAAGACAGCCCGAGAAGATCCCTAAGGTTCAAAGGTGAAGATGAGGAACATTGTTGAAGGAGGTGTCTCTCCTCCTCAGTGTTTATCATATCATCACACATCGAGTTAAGCTTCTTGAGATAGGATCAATACAAGGGAAACCTCGGTGCCTAAGTACTAGGAAACAAGAAATACTTGAGTTCGACCTTGACAGATGAGGCCTTAAGCTTGAAAATTTATCTTTAATGTTTTTGAAAGACTGGGTATAGACTATGAACAAGGAATCACATTGGGCATCATTTATAGATACTCAATCAACCTTATCCCCATGCTTCATTTGATAAAAGAACATGAACATATAAGGAGCAGGGGTCAGGCCGAGTTGAACACATACAATCTCGAAGGACTTCACAAAACTCCAACTATTAGGGTGAAGTTGATTAGGGGCCATAAAAAGGACAAACAAACGATCACTCTTAAAGAAAAACAAAAAGGAATGAAATGTCTAAATCCCTAAAAAACTCGTAAACGTAAACAAATTTATCCTCATTCTCACCAGGTCAAGAGAACACACCATAACTAAGAGAATAGGGAAGGACAGTAAGCCCGTTAGGACAAGAGTTGAAAGTATCCATTTGTAACGAACTTTGAGGCATAAAATGCCACCTCGTCCTAAATCTAGGTATACCTAGGATCTAATAAAGGGAATGATCACGCTCGTTAGCCGCTGGTGCAAGTGGCTTAACCCATGTCGCAGAAGGTGAGCATCTTTTACTCTGCTAAGGAAATCCTCTCATTAGAAGGAGGAGGAGAATTGGGAGAGGAACCCTAACTTATAGGAGTAATGTCTCTCTATAACATGGAGTGACGACTACCACGACCAATATCAAAGGAGGAAAAAGAAGACATACCTAATATTAGAGCAAATGCAAGAACAAAAGGGAAGACTCAGAGAAAATAGGGGCAACTCGTAGAAGCAAACAAAGAAGACATACCATGTGTAGGAAAGAAATGTCAAACTTGAAAAAGAAATGTGAAGAAGCAAGGTATAAAAGCAAGGAATTCAAAACAAAATGATTGTTAGTTAGGCGTCATTTCCCTCCCAACTACTCGTAACTCTTGATGTTTCATTCTCCGAGTTCAACCACTTAGATGCAGCCACATCAACCTCAATCATAATCATTTAATGTGAAGTGATGTTTCACACCTCAAGGCAATATCATTACGACGTTTCAAAACAACCCTTCATTAATGCTCTATAGTCACCAATAAAGTTATCATTAAGGTGGCAAGACAAGCACCAAAGCCTGCCTAAGTTGGTAGCGCAAAACGAAGCCTGCTTAAGTTGGCAACACCCAACAAAGCCTTCCTAAGCTAGAAACATTGAGTATACTGCTTAGGCCGATACTAGAGCCTAACAGCACGAAGTGAAGCCTACCTAAGTCAACAACACCAAGCAAAGTCTACCTAAGTTGATAGTACTCATATGGTAGAGACAACTAAGATAAGGTGGCAACAAAGTCTACCTAATCCACCTTATGATCAAAGATGACCACTTACGACTTGACCTAACGACCAACCCACCTGTAAAACCCTAAAAGTTGGCCACAACTCGGCCAAAGGGCCAATCATAATCACAACGAGCACCTCTCACATGATAATCAAACTTCAAAGACTAGGAGACTTATGTGCATACTCGACCTAACAAATATTCTAGGTCATATGGCCTAACAAGGTTCATCCATCTTTACTAATCTAAAATGGTTAGAGAATATTTTGAGATATATTTGTTGGTGCAAATATTCATATACTAATAATATATGTGGCCATGTCTTGATAATTTGATTACATCGTAATATTTCTTAATATCATATATTTACAGAATATTTGGTAAATCAGGTAAGGTGTCATATTATCACAATTATTTCGCTAATTATCATATATAAAATAATTCATTATATTTGTCAATATTATTTTGTATTCTCTTGATAATACTATTTTTATCACATGATTCACAAGGTTCATAAATCGTATAAATACACATAGTATTTTACTAGAAAATACACATGCACTTATACTCATTCTCTCTTACTAAAAAAATATAAACTCTCTTAGTGACTTGGGCGTCAATGAGTGTTTTACAAATGAATCTTCCTTGTGTTTCAACCTTCATGAGTACATATCAAGGTTCTTCAATCCACTCATATTTTGTCACTTATTCGAAGATCTATGCTTAAGATGATAGTAAAAGACATTTTATTTTATAAATTAAATGCTAAAATAAAAATTAAATCAATCATATGTAAATATAAAATAATGATGTTTTGTAAAGATAAATAAGGTTCCAATTTTTTTTCTAAATTTATGGTATTTTACTTGAGATTACAAAATCAAATGTTGACGTAAAGTGAATTGTCAATAAAAAAATTCAATTCAAAAATATAAAAGCTGTAGATAGTTAATAGAATGATTTTATTAGTACGAATTTAATTAAAAATACTCATATATATATATATATATATATATATATTAAAACTTAAATTGATTAAAAAATTAAAATTTACTTTAAGTCATTATTTGATGTTTTACTATGACAATAACATATACCATGCAAAGTAACAATCCTAATTAACAATAAGATTTAACAACAAAAACTCAATTGAAAATACTCAAATTCACAGTAGACTTAAAACTTAATTAAGTCTATTATTATTTTACCTTTTCATGCATTCTTTTAATATTTGTTTGGATTGCGTGTATATATTATTGATTAAGACAAACATGAAGTATATTAATAATTTTTATTGTTGAAAGTTTCACATCAACTAAAGATAAAACTATTTTAAAGAGTATATAAGTGATGCAAAACTTACCTTATAAGTCAAGTTTTTGGAGTTGAGTTAAACTTAAAATTCACTTCTTAACATGGTATAAGAATCATGAGTTAGTAACGAGATTTATGTTTGTTCTAGTTTCACACATGAGATGTATATATTTCGGTGTAAGGAGGTGTCAAAAGTTTCACATTAACTAAAGATAAAGTCACTTTAGGGTATATAAACGAGTGCAAATCTTATTTTACAAGCTAATGTTATTAGGTTGAGTTAGGTTTAAAGTTCATTTCTTAACAATCACATTATGTGATTATGTCAAAAAGTATGTCAATTGAGAAAAGCTCATAAGTTTCTTACAATGAGTTGAAACACTATTTGATACATTATTGGATGAAAGATAGAGACTATGGTGGAACCTAATGAAATATCATACCAAATAAGTGTATATCGAAAAAGTTTAACTTCTTGTACTAAAATATTTTAAGTCTTACTTAAAACTATTTGATACCTAAAAATTGGGTAACTAATGACTATATATTTTTCTTTTGTAAGTTGATAAATGGCTTACACTTTTTAGAAAAATAATTATAATAATATCAATGATTTTAATAAAAAATATTCACCTACTAATAGTTTATAAAATATTTTTTTATGTTTATATTATATATATAAATTTACATTGTGGACAGTGAGATTAAATCTTTTAATTATAAGTCAAATTATAGGTCCATATTGTTTGTTATTGTATGTTAACTTAATTAATATTAATATTTAAGGCTTATTAAGACATGGTTCATTTTTGTGCTTTTATTTTACATGTACCTACACTAAGAATAGAAGAATGATGTGTATATTAAAAGTTGTTTGAGAAAATTTAAGTGTTGAGAGTGTCACCAACTCTTTCACCCGCAAACCTATCCTACCAAACAACCTCCTTCTACCTACCACCCTTCACTCTTGTGCTTTCAAAAGCTTTGTCCTCATCAACCAAACACAACCACACCAACTTTCCCTTTTGGTAACCATCTCTCAAAATCTCTCTCTTTCTCCATCTCCTTTCTGTTCTGTTCTGTTCTGTTCTGATTGCCAATGGCCAACACTTTACACAACGGTGCCAAATGCGGAATCCCTTTGCGGAACCAATCCCTGACCTTCTCTCGACACGTCTCCAGATCCCTCTCTTTCCTTCCCAAGTGAGTCTTCTATTCTTCCCTCCAATTTCATTTCACACTAATTTCTCTTTCTCACCTTTCTCATCTCACCTTCGCAGAACACTTCACGGAAAACAATCAAACACCTCCTCCATCAAGGCTTCGCAAGCTGACTTCCCCGTTGACCCTTCCATCAGTCCACGTGTCAATGCCGTCAAGCCTTCCAAAACAGTCGCCATCAGCGACCTCGCCACCTCCCTCGTCCAAGCCGGCGTTCCCGTCATTCGACTCGCCGCTGGTGAGCCTGATTTCGACACACCCGCTCCCATAGCCGAGGTTTCCTCTCTGCATTCCCCTTTTCGTTCACAACCACTTGTTCTTTTTTTGATAGTGTAATTCTCTTCGTAGGCTGGGATCAATGCAATTCGCGAAGGTTATACGAGGTACACGCCCAATGCCGGAACCATGGAACTGCGTCAAGCGATTTGTCATAAGCTAAAAGGTTGTTTTTTATTTGAATTTGAATTTTCTTTTATGTTTCATTTGGATTATTGTAAGAAAAGGTGTTTTGAGTTTTTAGTTGTTGAATCGGTGTTGCTGTTGCAGAGGAGAATGGGATCAATTATACTCCTGATCAGGTTGTGGTTAGTAATGGAGCCAAACAGAGTCTTGCTCAGGCAGTGCTTGCAGTTTGCTCCCCTGGAGATGAGGTAAGTAAAGGGTTTGGTTTATGCTCAGTAAACATTAGAGAAAGTAACTACTTATGTTACATAGTCATTTGTTTATGTCTGAAAATGGATGGTTGATTTGAACTTTGTTGTTAGAACTAGTCATATTTGTTTATTCTGCCCGTTGCAGAGCTTGAAGTTTCTATGGACTTAAATATTAGCAAAATTGACTCATTTCGTATTGATTAAGAATGATAGTTATGTTCATTTAAGGTTTTTGATTTCATAGGTAGCTTTGACAGATTACTCGTATTCATATATATTGGAGATGATGCCTAGGTTTAAAGATGAGTATACTTTTAAAACATAGCATTAAGTAGAGCTAAAGTAGTTGAACTTTTGTTATATTTAAGTCCACTGGACATGACCCATTCTTTTTTGCTTATGTTCGAGTCTAAAGGGGGTACTATAATAATGCAATTAGTCTCAAGTCTGAATATTGACTTGCATTTTTCTTATTCAATAGATCCTATTGTCTTTCAGCCTCTAAACTTTTTTCTCTATGTTTGTTTTATGTCTCTAGTTGTGTAGTCTGTTATATACAAGACTGAGAGAATCAATCCCATAAATTTAGGGATTAAAATCAAGAGTTAGAATCAATCTACATATACAACTAACAGAAGAGAACAGAATTTCCCTCTTTACATAAACGGACGATGTTTCCCTGATCAAGTAATATGTTTGCTCTTGGAAAAGTCAAACAAAAAAGGCACTACACTGTGTACAACTTATTTCATATGTATATTTATGTCTGATTTGTTTATGGACAACTTATCACATACTTCATATGTAATTTTTACTTTTGCTCACTTTGTTGGCTTTCATTTGTGGTGAGAATTTTCAGGTCATTATTCCAGCTCCATTCTGGGTTAGTTACCCAGAAATGGCAAGGTTGGCTGATGCAACTCCTGTGATTCTTCCAACATCAATATCTGATAATTTCCTCTTAGATCCCAAACTTCTGGAATCCAAAATAACTGAAAGATCGAGACTGCTCATTCTTTGCTCGCCATCTAACCCAACTGGATCTGTCTACCCTAAGGGATTACTTGAAAAGATAGCCCAGATTGTTGCAAAGCACCCTAGGCTTCTGGTATTGTCATACAATTTACATCCACAAGAAGATCACTAGTGCTTCAATGTGTTCAACCTAAATGTTATTTTCTTTCGAGATCTTAATGGTTGTTTTATGCAGGTTCTCTCGGATGAAATTTATGAACACATAATTTATGCCCCAACAACTCACACTAGCTTTGCATCTTTACCGGGAATGTGGGACAGAACTCTAACTGTAAATGGATTTTCTAAGGTCAGTATGTAATTTTTTTTTAGAGTTGAATGGTGTGTTGTTCATTCATTCTTATTTTATATTCCAATGCTTATGGTCTATTTCACAGTGTGGTTGCAATTAATGATTTGACATGGAGGCCTATAAACTTGATTATGATGTTTTTGAGCTATTTTCATATAGGCCTTTGCAATGACGGGTTGGCGGCTTGGATATATTGCTGGTCCAAAACATTTTATTGCTGCATGTGGAAAGATCCAAAGTCAGGTATGCTTTATTATTTTTGGCCATTTTCATAAGCCTCATCCAATGCTATACTTCTCTTGATTTCCCTTTGATACAGCCTACAATACATCAAAAGGATACTTAGGTTTAGCGAGATTTAGCATTTTATTAAGCTTTTAGCATTCATTTGGAATCAGCTGGACTATTGTTTCTATACCATATTATATGCGAGATGTAGTGGCTGATGCGTCAAATTGAATTTAGTTCACTTCAGGGGCCAGTAGTATTGCCCAGAAAGCTGCAGTTGCTGCGTTAGGACTAGGTTATGCTGGTGGGGAAGCAGTTTCTACCATGGTTAAAGCATTTAGGGAGCGAAGGGATTTCTTGGTAAAAAGTTTTAGAGAAATAGATGGTGTCAAGATATCCGAACCCCAGGTGCAATTTATTTTCTTGTTAATTATCCACCTCTTTTTTTGTCTCATCCTTTTCTTGTCTGCTTTTCTACTTAAACACGATTCTTCTCTTTTTCACTCGCAGGGAGCATTCTATTTATTCATTGATTTCAGCTTCTATTATGGAAGAGAAGCTGAAGGATTCGGTAAAATTGAGGATTCTGAGTCCCTCTGTCGATACTTACTGGATGTTGGCCAGGTATTCTCATGTAATTGATTCAAAGATTTGATGATTATTATGAGTAGGAAATTTTCTAATAATCTTTTATTTTACTGTCTCCCCTGTAAAATAGTGGGGAAGAACTAAAGAACAACTGTTCTTAGCAAAAGGCCAGAAAATGTTGTTGTAAAGTATGAGAAAACAACTGATAGTATCATAACTCTGTGTTTTGCCATTTTGGCACAGGTAGCCTTGGTTCCAGGGAGTGCATTTGGAGATGATACTTGCATCCGCATCTCTTATGCAGAATCCCTTACTACCCTACAGGCAGCTGTAGAAAGAATTAAGAAGGCACTCATCCCTCTAAGCTCTGCTGCGCTTGTTTAATATCGATGTTTAGTGTAATTGGTGTATTTTATTTTTATTTTAATGCTGCCAATATCTAATCTGTCCGAAAATAATAGGCTATGGTTATTTTCCCACAAATAAACTGAGCAACTGTCTTATTAATGGTTTAAAATTATTTTTGCCCCTTTTATGTTACGTAACACACTAGAGAAACAAGGGATCTCTTCATTTATCAATCTCGTCAGAATTAAAAATTGGCTTCGTATCAGCACTATCAATATATTATTTAATTCAGAAGTTTTAGTTGGTCTTTTAGATAAATAAATTGTTTGAAATTTCAGTTGTATTTGATAATAGCTAAAATAAATTTATATATATATATATATATATGTTTTTTTTGTAAGAAAATAAAATTAATTATTTTAAATCATATTCCGTAATTTACCTAAATAAAAAAGATTTAAACAACAATAGATTATTGTGATAATCTATAAACAATAATCTTTTTAGAGCAGGGAAGAGATTATAAACTAGTTTTCAGACTCTGGATAAATATATTGGTTTATCAAGCATTGTTCATTTGGTTGGAAATTGTAAGCTACTACAGCTTTTCTTAATTGGAAGGTTTGCATATCAAGCACAGGCCTCTTAAATAAAGTCTCTTTTTATTGAGTTTTTTTAGTTACATTTAGTTATTTAATTCGTGCAGGGGAAAGGATGAGTTTACACGTAAAATCAGTTCTTTTACAAAAGAAAACATATTGAGACCCATTAAAAATAGTAAAAGAGTCATTCATTAAATTTTGTCATTGAAGTAAAAGGTACTGAAAATTCTGAAGTTTTACATGACACTAATAAAGTTTTAAAAACTATGTCAATATCCTAAAATGAATACAACAATATGGCCAGTTAGTCTTACAATAGATCGTAAAGAAATTTACAACCAAAGCAAAAATGCTTTGTCAAACCGTGTGATAATCTAAGAATTATTCTCACTAATCAAAATTTGAAAATTTAGAAAGAAATGAAAAGTTATTTTTCATTTTTTTTTTCGTGGTTGAATAAAAAATGTAGGTAATAAAGAGCCTAAAAGGTAATTAAAATAATGAAAATACCATGCTTCAAAAACACTTACGAAATATTTATATATCAGCTAATAATAAAATATTTAAACTGACTTCTTAGTGGTTGTGAAACATAACCTGGATAACCTGTGGGCCGGCCATGTCATTGTATAATCTAAAAAGTATAATCTAAAAAGTATTTGGTAATGACTTTTAGATTTTACAATTTGAAAATTAAAAATAACTTTCAAAAGTAAGAAAGATTAAGAAAATGATGACCTGTAAATTGAATAATCCAAAAATCATTTAACTTTTGGATTGCATAATTTAGAAATATTTTTTAAGAAAATATATTTTTTGGATTGTACAATTTAGTATCTCTACATGTGTGAAATGGTTGTGAAATAATAGTATTAGCAACTTTTTTCATACCATATAACATATTTGGAAAAGCAAAGTGGTAGTTAACCCGTTGGAACAAAGACAGGGATTTGTTAATTGAAGCATTTGCAACCTAACATATATGTTTGTTTTGGCATAGAATAGAATCAATTCCCTGCCCCAGAAGCACAAGTTTTGTAATCTGTAAGGTTAAGGTCTCATTAGAAGTTTCCTGTTGGAAAGGAAATACAACACATTCAAAACATACAGCGTGGGAGGGAAGGAAGGTAAGAAGGAAACGCAATCTTAACTTTCTCTCTCTCTTCAATATTCTCATCTACAACAAAGTTAAACATTCTGAAGAAGCTAAGGAGCATAGTGACTTCAACCTGGAGATAATCAACCTTCACACACAACAATTGGGTTTCCTCTACATCCACTTTTCCCACCTTAGCTTCATCTATATATACTAAACACATGAACCCAGATATAAGGAAGGCAAAAGTAACACAAGACCCTTGTCATCATGGATTTCTCTTATTCATGCAACGACCACGCACCCGAGATTGTTTTCTTTGATTTGGAAACTACAGTGCCCAAAAGAGTTGGAGATCGTTTCTGGGTGCTGGAGTTTGGTGCTATTGTAGTTACTCCTCACAAACTCAACGAGGTTGAGAGCTACACCACCCTCATAAAACCCAAAGACTTGTCTGTAGTCGCTGTGAAATCTAGCAGAAGTGATGGAATAACACGTAAAGCTGTTGAAAATGCACCATCTTTTGAAGATGTTGCAGACAGAATATTCGGTATCTTGAATGGAAGGGTGTGGGCGGGGCATAACATCCAGAGATTTGACTGTCCCCGGATCAAAGAGGCCTTTGATTATATCAATAGGCCACCACCCTTACCTGTTGGAATCATTGATTCTTTGAGGGTCCTAACTGAGAAGTTTGGAAGAAGAGCTGGTAATATGAAGGTATAGCAGTCAGTGATTAATTCTTCACACAACAAACACAATCCTCGTAATTATTTCAAGTGTTCTTATTCACTGTTATTTATGAGCAGATGGCATCATTGGCTTCTTATTTTGGTATTGGCCAACAAAAACACAGGTATACATTTTAACTCTAGTACTAATAGTGGCTATATTATACCATAAGACTTAAACTTTAATACGCAGGAGTCTGGATGATGTTCGCATGAACTTGGAGGTGGTTAAGCATTGTGCAACGGTGTTGTTTCTGGTGTGCAATTAATCTTCATTTTCAATTCTACCTTTGAAAACAAATATTCGAGATAGTAGCATGAATCTCACACATTTGTTATGGCTTATGGGTGATGCTAGGAATCTAGTCTACCAAACATGTTTGAAAGCAAATGGTATGAATCACCCAGCATTATGACGCGAAGCAGAAGCAACGGGAAATCACCCTGCAAGGAAGAGACTAGTAGAAAATCTCCCCCTACTGCATTAGGGAATCGGAGGACTGTCCCCTATGCTAGGGGAAGTTTGGGAAAGGTTTTATTTTATACATTTTTGGCAGAATACTTATTTGTTTTTCAAGTGCATTATTATTTTTGGAAATAGACGTATGATCTCAAATACTTGTACCCTCTAACAATGACAGTGGAATTTCTTCAAACGTAGGTGACTGAAAGAGTGAAGGGCTTGTTGTGTAAAGCACAAGGGCAACCACCACTTCAACAACTTCTCAAGCATTCTCATTCATTACTACGGTGAAGAAAGTGGCATCATGGAAGAGAAGAAGGGTTTTGTTGAGTTGGCATATATTGGAAGGAAGCAATGTGCATGAACAAGATGCCAGAATGTTTTTCAGGATTCTGAAGAAACCAAGGGGAAGCCGTAATACATTTGTGTAGAATTCAATTAATTGTTAGAGTTGTGTATAATTCAGTCATTCTGATTCATATATCAAGCATAGTTCTAAAATGAAATATGACAATTAACAAAACAGTATATCTGTAAATGAAATCCAAAATGAATATTAATTAACATCTATGTTTTCCCAACAATGAGTTTCGGATACTAATAACTTAACCGGTACATTGGGAGAAAAGTAAACCAAAATTAAAATGCATTGTGGGTACAAACTAAAAAAGGATAATTCTTTTATTACATGATAGATAGGTAGAAAACCACAATACATAGCCCAATACCACTTCGTGTTGTCCTAAAAGGATTGGGAAGATTATCCTTCTGTCCCACCATATTCTACACTAAACACACAAAACAAACATCATCGTGAGTACAATTTTGCAACATTCAAACTCAAACCAAACACAACTTGTAAACAAAGAGAGGTACACCACAGGGTTCTGTCAGTAGCAATTTAGAAATCCAGATTGCAGTCAATAGCTTCTCCAATAGTCAAGAAGACCCTTCCTCCAATTCTTGCAACAAAGTTGGTTGCCTTTAGCTTGTATATCACTTGCCACCCAGGATTGGCAATTGCTAGCTGAGCAAAATTAACAGTAAGTAAACAGACACAAAATGCAGATTTGAAAACCAGTATTGTAAAACATCAAACCGTACTGTGTACCTTACCTGCTTTCCACTTGAAATCAAACCGTACTCCATTATTTACAGTTCAAACTGGGTTAAATTTTATGTAATATCAAATGCTTAACATGTGCTTGTAGCAACAGTCTAGTGCTACCACAATACCTCTCTCTGACTGAATTGGCATTAGAAAAGCAAAGCAATGCAGACTTGACGCGTATTATTGCAACCCCAGGAGTCTTAACAGCCATAGGATACTGTTGTACATCGCAGAACAGATCTGTGCCTGGAAGTCTTCCCAGCGTTTCTGTGCCTGCTCCGATCGAGATCCAAATTATCTTTGTCAAAGATATTGCCACCTTCGGAACAATATAAGATTTCAAACATCAAACCAAACATGCACCAAAGTCCTGTTTGATTTTTTACTTATTCCTTTGTTTTTTATCTTCTGAATTTATTTCACTAAATAAATTATTTTTAATAGATGCACATAGTATATCTATTGTTCTCTTCAAAAATAATTTTTCTACGGATATCATAACAATCTTTTCATGTCACTGATATCCCGAGGCATTGGAGTTTCCAAAAGCATCCACTTTGAACGGTACGCATTGGAGTAACATTCATTACTTTAACAAAAATCAGTTTTGCTGTTATTCTATTAAGATAGTGGAAAAGCAGACGAAATTGCACTTGTTAGATACTCTCATCTCGGCCACAAAATTATGCAGCTGATACTGTTGGAAGATTTCTTGCATCTTTCGATTGCTTCATAACAATCTTTGGTTTGGCTCAAGTTTTAGTTGGCAACAGTACTATTACTGACCTAATTTTTAATTTATACTGAAGCGTACGTTTTCTAGCGCAAATTCCATGGCATAAATTAATGGTGATTCTCAAAGAATATTCATTGGTTGGAGAGGCCCGCGAGGGCGACTATACTGTGAATGAAATTTGTGGCACAGTTCATATTTTAGTGCTCCACTTTGCAACTACGTTCCCATTAAAACAGTGGATTCGGAACTCCAACATATATCAGTAACAGTTAACATCATGATAAGATGATATGGAATATGATAAAAACTAATTGAAAGTCGGTAATTTCAACAAAATTGAGTTCAGTGTTTCAGGAGAGATTAATCAACAAAGTTAATCGATACTTATTTACTAATATCCGATAAAAAATTGACTTAAATTCCAAATCATTTTAGTACGTTCTCTTTCTATCATTTCCTTCATCCACTATTTGATAGTTTTATTTAAGGAGATCGAATTCAACACCATATGCCATGCATTGTTTGAATATATTTATATTGATCAGAAGGTTGATGTAGTTCTGTGTTCACACATAGGTACATTTGTTTAGCAGAAAATGTTGGATGTGTGTCGGCATTAATCATATTAATCCAAAATAAGAAAAAGACAAGTAATATATATATATATATTACACCGAAGAAGTATATGTGATGGAAGAGGTAGAGATATATGTTGAAAAGTGGTGCACTTACGGCCACTAGCAGACCAAGTTCCACTGACGCAAAGATCACACCGAAGAAGGCTCCAACACAAGCAAGAAAATCAAGCTTATCAACTTTCCATATTTTGTAAGCTTCGTTGATGTCTGAGTCCCGGCAGAGCTGAAAGGATTATCGAAGCCAGAATAGCAGTTGGTGTAAAATACAATAGCTTCGTCAAACATTGCAGTGATATGATCACTACAATGGACATCACAATGTTTGACGCTAATGTTTCACAACCCGCGGTGAAATTAACCACTGTGCGGGAGAAAGAACCTGTGCAGAATAATAAAGAAATCATTATTTAGCCCAATAATTGCTTCTGAGTTAATGTTTGTTCTGCATGAGGTCAATTATAAGAAAAAGGTGACACTTAGGAGCATTATATATGATACAAATTTGGCTCTTGCTGTATTAATAATTCACCTTTTCCAATAAAAACAAGATTCCCACTAACTAGTTTAATATAGTATTGTGTTTTGTAGTACCTTGCCCGTGGCATTGGATCATGCATATATATGCCTTTTTTTTTCCACTAGCTGGTGGACTTACTATATTAATTCTAAATGAAACAACTTCGATAATTCTATGCCAACTTTATCAGCCAAAATCTTAGCTAATTGATGTAGCTGTTAAGTGACGTAGCATCAACTGATTCGACTAGGAAGGTATGAAAACTGATTTACATGTAAAGAGAAATTATTCAACTGATTCCATCAAACTTACCAGTTGCAACATAGCAAGAGGAGATGCACCCTATGATGTTCATGAAGCCTAATGATACCATTTCCTTGTTTCCGTCAAGGTAATATCCTTTCATGGATGCAAAAGATCGTCCAACAGCAACTGATTCCTATGAGAAACAAAATTAGTCTCGTTAGAATATAGATGTATGTGTGTAAGTGTATGTATATATAATTGGAAGGATTATTGTGTGATGAAGTATAAATTGGATGCTGACAGTGAGTGCAACAGCAGCAGCAAATAGTCCAGTTTTGGCCAATGCTCCAATATGTGGGGAATTCAACTCTATTTGATTGATAGAGCTTGGATTCAATCCTCCTTTTATATGTCTCAAAATGTTAACACCACTTTTGTCAGCTCTAGTCAGGAAAACTATAAGAGTTGATAACAGAACTGATAAAAGAGGAGATATAGCTGGCAGCCAAAACAGTTTCTTATTCCTTTTACCCTGCCATGGTGAGTTGGCCCATGTTAGGTTACTAAATATGTTAGAAATAGTGCAAAGAAAGAACTATTTCTTGATCTGTATATAGATCACTCACCAGAAATCTGGTAACCAGGATGAAAATGAAGAACGAACATCCCAGCACCAAGTTGAGCGGATTCCACTGCAGTTGAACAATTACAAGGATTTTGTTTAAGATTCTGAGACAGCATATGCAAGTGTTGATCTAAAATATTGTTCTAGTGAAGCAAGACAGGTTTCACATAACTCAGAAGTTTAACTCACCACTAATTTTTTTGAATCAGATAAATATTACTAATTCGTTTCATTAGTATTATTCTTCGATTTTGAAGATTTTTCCTGTCTTAAAAACATCATGTTCTTTTCCAAAATTGCAAATATGTAATTGAGTTTTGATGGCATGTAACATGGATCCTCTTATATACAGTTTCTTAGAATCTTTATACAACTTTTTTTTTAAAGTAGGTACTAAGTTGAATATGTACATGTTAGAATATGACAAGTAAGATTTGTTGATATAAACTATAGTGTGCTTGAATAGGTTGTGAAGCGACACCATGAAAATTTTGGGAGTATCTTTATGTAGCGATTTGCAATCTAGCGTGTGATTGAATCTATTAAAAAGAATTTATTTAGTGAAATATTATTTTAATTATGATATATACTATAAAATATCTAACTTTACTTAAAAGAAATTTGAATATTCTTGTTATCAATAATTTTTAAATCAAAATATAACGTGGGTGTCCTTTTATATAGCTAATAATAAATAATTTTACTATCTATATATAAAATTAAAGAAATATATATACGCGCCACAAATTTCTAAAAAAATTAAGAAACACTGAATGTTAGGAAAAGTAAGTATAGCAGTTTTCCATTTAAAGATTGTTATATTATAACAAAATTAATTTCTAGAACACAATGATAAAAATTGATCTCGAATCAACTAATTGTTAAGCCCTAAATGACACAATTGATTTTCTTATTTGTTATTATAGTAAGAAAAAAAAACTCTCTTGTATATCCACCTTTGAAGTTATTAAAGTTGGTTCAATAATAACATATTTGAATAATTGATGTAAGCATACGAGTGTTGTCAAACATATCCACCTTCAAATGTTACCCCGATTCCCACTTGCTAAAAACCCACAAATCATCATACAAAGGTCCCCCAAAATAAGAAAGTTTGTATAGGTTTAGATAAGTACTAAAAAATTATTACTTATATTGAATAACATATTACTTATATCATTTAGAGTTTAATTTTTACACTGTGAACGTACGAATTAATATTTTCTCAGTACATTATTCATGAATTTCAAACAATAAATGAAATAATTTATTTAAAATATATTATATTAAAAGTATTTTCTTGTAAAATGCAAAATAAGATTATTTCCTCTTACAATTTTATAAAAATAAAATAAAATATGAAAAATGCTAACCAATACCTTGTGGATTCTTAAGGAATTATCAAAAGAATGTAATGGTATATTTTGACAAATTAACTTGACCTTAAATATATCCGCAGGTAAAGATAAAAAAAAAGTAAACAAACCAATAAGGTAAAAGAAGAACAACATACGGTATGATGAAGCCATTCCCGAACGGATTTCATGACAGAGATCATGTCTGTTTTGTTTGTAAAATGATTTATTCCAAACAGTCCCTTCAGCTGTTGAAGACCAATTATTATTGCTGCTCCTCCCATGAATCCATCAATGGCTGCATGAGACACAAAATCCACAAGGAAACCCAACCTATACAAT